ATATATATATATACACACACACAAAATGCTAAAACTGACCTTAAAAACACACACACAAAGTTGAACAGATACCAATTAGAAAAACTGAAATAGTAATAGGAATAGTAACCCCCCCCCCACCAACATCCCCCCTCCAAAGCATTTTTACTGATGAGGTTCACCAAACTTTCAAGGAAGATGTTAAGACAATGTTGTTGATATTCTAAAAAATAGAAAAAGAAGAAATACATCCAACTTTTTTTGAGACAGAGTCTCAGTTTGTCACCCTCAGTAGAGTGCTATGGTGTCCTATCTCACAGCAACCTCAAACTCTTGGCTCAAGCGATTCTCTTGCCTCAGCCTCCCAAGTAGCTGGTACTATGGGCACCTGCCACAGCACCCGGTTTACTTTTAGAGGCAGGGTCTGGCTCTTGCACAGGCTGGTCTCCAACCTGTGAGCTTAGGCAATCCATCCGTCTCAGCCTCCCAGAGTGCTAGGATTACAGGCGTGAGCTACCACGCCCAGCTGTCCAATCTTTTTTTTTGAGGTATAAAAAAATTTAGCATAAATTCGATACCAAAACAAATAGGGACAGTACCAGAGAAGAGGTGGAAAAGAGTTTCTCCCCCCCCATCTCAGTTCAAAATTAGAGTACAGACCATTAGGTTACATTATTTGTGTTTGTAAGGTAAAGTCCAAAGTCTGAGTTGTAGTTACTGACTCACTCTTCTTACTCATTCCCCTCTGGTGCTTCTGATTGGTAGGACTCAACCAAAAACTAGACAAGAGAGCTCACTGATACATAAAGGTTAGCCTCTTGAAGCACAGAACACAGTGAAGGGTAGAGAGAGTACAACCAGAGCTAAACATTATAACAAAATGAATTGTACAAAATTGCAGCATCAAGTAGCCACTTACTGGCACTTGTAAATATAGAATCAAAAGCAAAAAAAAAAAAAAAAAAGATCAGAAGCTTATTTTTACAAACCTACAAACGTTTCTTGTTAAAGCTATCCTAGAATTTTCTGTTGCACTGAACAGCACAATGCTTTAATCGAATTGCAACTTTGCTCACTTCAGGTTTCATACATGAAGAATTAGGTTGATACCATGTACCTTCAACTATATTCAACAAAGGATCTGTGCAAAACTTTTTCCAAGGAACCATTTCAAATCAAAAGTCCCAGGGTGGGGACATTTTTTACTTGATTTAGGGTAAAAGCTATTATAATTCAGTAAGTAGATAAACTTAAGATTGGAAAACTAGATGAAGACCAATAAACTGGATACATGAATGTGAAGTTTCCTCCTCCAGGACTATATGGTCACTGTCTTCAGCTATGTTTCATTTTTAACTGATTGTTGGTAGGTATTTTAATAACCTTTTCCACTTTCTACACTGAATAGTGCTAATGGGAAAAAGTGGGGAGAGGAGTGGCAAAATATATAATTAGGGTCAAGTTATTTTGTGGAAACCTTTAAAGAAGAAAGGTCTAATGTTACTGGATGGGGGTTGAAGTAGGTGCCGAAGGAAAAGCAGTTCCCACCACCTCCAAGAAGCAGGAGCTGTTGCTCTTCAGGAAGAAGGATGCTGGTATGATTGTGTAACATTAATGGCCATGGCACATATGTTGTGTCAATCTGATACTCAGAGCTCAATCCTGTAGTCAAATTGATAACAGTCACTCCAGGAACTGAGGAGGAATGAATCCAGACCCCTCCAACTAGTAGAAGTTTTCCATTGAGCACATGAGCTGTGTGGGAGTACCGTGGGGTAATGGGAGGCTGGATATCTATCGATTCCCAGAGGAATCCACAAGAGATTGGTCTCAAAAAGAGTACAGAGTTCAATGGCTCCTCAGAAGCCCCAAGACCTCCAGCAATGAGGACTCCCCCTTGCCAACAGCAGGCACTGTGGGAATGCCGAGCTTCAGGTGCTTCCCCCTCCACTGGGATCTTGACCCAAGCCATTGTCTCTACCTGTAGGAAATGCCAGTCACTTAGTACAGGTTCCAACACACTTCGACCCCCATAAACAAACAAATATTTCTGATTCTGATAGGACACTTCTGTTGCTGAATGCCGCCAACATGACAAAGTGGAATCTTTTGGGCCAGCCTTTGTTAATGTCACCTTCAGGTTCTCAGGGCTATTATCCTCACCCTTACAAAAATGAAGCTGGAGAAACCCCAAGGCTGGACTTACTGGGGATAACCTCCCTCCCAAAACCAGAATTTGGGTATCTGAAAGTCTTGTCATGGTGTGATAAAGGCGTCCATCCCACTGAACTTCAGTCCCATGACTGCATATTTGGCTGCCTTTCCACTCAAAGTCACAATGTTTTGAGAGCAAGTGAAGCTTGCTCACTCGGCAGTGCCGTCCTTCCTGCTCTCCAAACCCTCCTGCACTGAGAATAATGTCCGGACATAAGAGGACAGAGGCGTGGCCGTATCTCTTCAGGTTTGAGCCCTGGGTGTCACTAGTGACTACACTGGCAGGAAGGACCCCTGAGGGGGAAACAGGATCTACCCAAGGAAAAGGCTCCGAGGGTGGAAACATCAAGGTTTGGGAGAGAGTGTCTCCTGTGGACGCTGCCAGAATGAAATAATGGGCGCACTTTAGATGCCACTCCTCAAACTCGTCAAAGGGTTCAAGATTTTCCATCCGCCGCCGTTCTTCTGCGGGAAGAAAGCGGCGATAGAATTCATTCATGTCCATGGCACTGCACGCAGTCCAGCCCGCTTGAAGGAAGCGGCGCCGCTGGGCCTCCACGTCAGGAAAGTGGTCCAGGCCATGCAGGGGAGAGTTCAACTGCTGAAAATGGTGCAGCATGAACTGGCCAAAGGCGTCTTGAGGCTTCATCTGCTCGTAGATCACGAATACAGCATTAGGAAAACGCTGAGATGCCCAGGCGATGAGGGCAGCAGCACGATCCGGCTCGAGGTAGGTCAGCACCGCCTCAGCCAGGAGCAGAGTAGGTGAGGCCGTGTCGAGGCCAGCTGTGGCCAGGGCCTGGTCCAGTCGCTCCAGCTGCCGCAGGTCCAGCCCCAGGATGCGGTAGTCCAAGCTCTCAAAGCACAGCGCCGACGCGGGGTCCCCCACCTGGAAAGACCCTGTCAACGCGCACAGTTCGGGCGTCTCGCTGATCCTGTTCGCTTTGCACCGCGCCACGTCCGGGTAATCCACCTCCCAGACTGCAGCCCGGGCCAAGTACCCAGCAGTTTTGAGGCGAAAGTATAGAGAATCAGAGCCGGCGCCAAGTGACAAGATCTGCGCGCGAGGCGCGTCGGGGGGCGCGCACGTTCGCTCCAGGAAGGCGCGCACGCAGTGCCCCACGGCGCGTGCGCGAACGTAGTAACCTCGGTGAATGAGCGGCGCGCGCCGCGCGGTCCCGGGGACCAGGAAGGCAGTGAAGGCGTCCTGTACGTACCCGCGCGCTGCCAGGGAGCTCTTGCTGAGGGCGCTGCTGTCGTTGGTGCTTTGTACTGCTCCCGTCCGACTTTCGCGGCTCCGTGGGCCCATGGCCAGAAGGGACTCAGGAACGGCGGCCGGTCTCGGTTGTGAGCTGCTCCTTGGTTCGCACAGTGCACACTTCAGGAACCTCGGTACGGAAGCACCGTCCTCCCCCTTGACTTCGCTTGCGCAGACAGGGGTGCGTCACTTCCGGGAAGAGCACCCTTTAGTCAGAATTGGGGAGGGTGTTGCTAGTAACAAACTTGACTATAATTGACTTTTTTTTGAAACAGAGTTTCACTTTGTCACCCTTGGTAGAGCGCCGTGGGGTCGTAGCGCGCAGCAACCTCAAACTCTGGGGCTTAAGCGATTCTCTTGCCTCAGCCTCCGCAGTAGCCGGGACTACGGGCGCTGCCACAACGCCCAGCTGTTTTTAGAGACTGGGTCTCGCTCTTGCTCAGGCTAGTGTCGAACCTGTGAACTCAGGCAATCCACCCGCCTCGGCCTCCCAAGTGCTGGGATTACAGGCGTGAGCCACCGCGCCCGTCGATTGCCCTTTTTTGGATTCTCCTGCATTATGTTTTCCTGGGTAGACGGCCGGCTACCGCTGTGACATATGTATTAGGGGTGCGCAGTTGTCACTTTACTACAAGCCTTACAGTCTAAAAGGAAAACTTGTCTTGGTCCGCTTATAGGAGAAATCTCTAAGAGGTGAGCCCGTGGGTACTGATGACCTGACTTTCTTGGATGGCGGAGGAAAGGTCTGGCAGGGGCAAAGAAGGATCAGCACCATGGACCTTCAGTGGGCAGGGATTAGCATCCCTGAATGCTAATTTACTTAATGCTCTCGCAAAAGAGAATCCATTTAAATCTGAAAATAAATCAGTAAGGCCAAGTGCAGAGTGAAGAAACTAACTTTTACAAATAATTTACAGGTATTTACAATAAACATCCCCCCACAGATATATTGATAACCCTATATTCCTACTCCTGTGCTAGGCTGACGGTGAGTTAAACACTCAGCCGCTATTTCTCATCTTTAAAATGACACACCCCTGGCCGGGCGCAGTGGCTCACGCCTGTAATCTCTGCGCTCTGGAAGGCGGAGGCCGGCACCAGTTGGAGACCAGCACTGAGCCAGAGTGAGACTCCGTCTCTAAAAACAGCCGGGCGTTGTAGTGGGTACCTGTAGTCTCAGCTACTGCAGAGGCTAAGGCAGGAGAATCCTTGAGCCCAAGAGTTTGAGGTTGCTGTGAGCTGTGATGCCACAGCACTTTACCAGGGGCGACAAAATGAGACTCTATCTCAAAAAACAAAAAACAACACCCCTCCACTTCCAAAAGTGGAGGATTCTGAAGTGTTGAATGTATCTGCCCAATGGGGAGTCACAGAAGAGAGATGATCATTCCCTGTAATATGTTCTGAGCTTTATTTTTTATTTATTTTGAGACAGTCTCACTATGTTGCCGTTAGTACAATGCTGTGTCATCACAGGAACCTCAAACTCTTGGACATAAGCAATTCTCTTGCCTCAGCCTCCCAAGTAGCTGGGAGTACACACGCCTGCCACAACGCCAGGCTATTTTTTGTTGTTGTAGTAGTCAATGTTTGGCAGGCCCTGGCCGAATTCAGACCCTCCAGCCCTGGTGCATGTGGCTGGCACCCTAGCTCCTGAGCTACAGGCGCTGAACCCTTAGCTTTATTTTTAAGGAATAAATCCAGGTTGGAATTTAAAATAACCATAAAGTTCAAAATTCAGTGTCTGGGAGTCATCAGTGGAAACCACTTCCAGAGATTTTTTTTTTTCTTTTTTGAGACAGAGTCTCACTTTCTCACCCTCAGTAGAGTGCTATGGTGTCACAGCTCACAGCAACCTCCAACTCTTGGGCTTAAGCAATTCTCTTCCCTTGCCTCCCAAGTAGCAGGGACTACAGGTGCACCCCATAATGCCGAGTTATTTTTGTTGTTGTTGTTGTTGTAGTTGTCATTGTTTAGCAGGCCCGAGCTGGGTTCAAACCTGTCAGCCTGACTACTTAACCTGCCAGCCCTGGTGTATGTGGCTGGCGCTCTAACCACTGAGCTATGGATGCCAAGCCTCCAGAGATATTCTTAAAGAATATTTATAAATATCTTAATTTATATTCCTCTAAATTCCTAAAGAAATTTATAGTTTATTAATTGGTATTTGGTGACTGGCTGAAATAAAGAAGGAAATCAGGTTGATGTCATGGTTAACTTGAAGTACTGTTGCTTAATGGTTAAGAGCACGAGTTTTGGACTCCAGCCAATTTAGAAATAGGTGTCAAGAAAAAGGTTGGAGGCTCGGCGCCTGTGGCTCAAGTGGCTAAGGCGCCAGCCACATACACCTAAGGTGGCAGGTTCGAATCCAGCCTGGGCCTGCCAAACAACAATGACAGCTGCAACCAAAAAAAAAAAAAAAAAATTGTCCAGACGTTGTGGCAGGTGCTTGTGGTACCAGCTACTTGGGAGGCTGAGGCAGGATACTCACTTGAGCCCACGAGTTGGAGGTTGCTGTGAGCTGTGATGCCATAGGACTCTACCCAGGGGGACAGCTTGAGGCTCTGTCTCAAAAAAAAAAAAATAGAAAAAGTTTGGAAAAAAGAAAAAAGTTTGAATCAGGATAAATACTTGATAATTGAAAAAGGTCATTTAAGAATGGCGTTTAACAGCTTACTAATGACCTTTAGGGGGCTGGATGAAATGGCCTGTATTTCTCATGCCTGTATTCCTGCACACTGGGAAACTGAGGATTGCTTGAGGTCAGGAGTTCAAGACCTCAAGCCTGAGCAAGAGCAAGACCCTTTCCCTACAAAAACAGAAAAATTTGTGTGTTCCTATCATCCCAGTCTCTTGGAAGGCTGAGGCAGGAGGATTCCTTGGCCCAAAAGTTGGAGGTTGCAGTGAGCTATGATGATGCCACTGCACATCCGCCCAGGCAACAGAAAGAGATTCTGTCTCCAAAAAAAAAAAAAAAAAAAATCTTAGAAGGAAAAGTAGCAAGGAGGGCAGAATCCATGTTTCAGTGAATAGGAGATAAATTCCTAGCGGCATCAAGGTTAAATTGTACTTTCAACTTAGAATAGAAAGAAATGAGAGACAGGGCAGTAGCTAAAGAAGAATGTAGAGTAAAAGAGTTTTTTCTTTTGTTTTCAGGTGGAAGCAAATATTGCACATGCATGTTGGTCCAATGAAAGAAATCAGCCAGTACAGAGGAAGAGGTTGAAGGAACAAAAGAACAGCAAGATTAACTCACTGGTGGAGTAAGAACTTTGAAAGATAGGAAGAACTGGAACTCTGAGCACATATTAGTCTTGGGGACAGGGAAATGGATCCTTTTTCTTTCGCTCATGAGGAAAGAGAGTATGGATAAAGATAAGCTTAGGCGTGAAGTAGGGCAGAGAGAGATAGGAGGAATTGATGCCTGATGGCTTTTGTTTTCTCTATAAAGTTGATAGCAGAGTTGTCAGTTGGCAATTGGATCTGGTAAAACAGCTGATTTTGGAATTGCCTTTGTAGGAACTAGGAGAAGGACTCACCTAAGCTTTCTGTGTCTTTGGATCCTCGTCTCTAAAATGGGGAATTAAGTTCTGCTTTATAAGTATCTCAGTGTTGATTGAAGGCCAAATAGGAAAAATAAAGTTCAAGAACTTTGAAAAAATGCATAGCATTGTAGAAAGAAGTGTATTTAATGACAAGTTAGTAAACTATAACTGTTGTGTTAAAAAAAAATAGTAATTTTTTTGCAAAGAGCAGATCAAGAAAAGTGATTCAAGAAGAAAGAATGTAGCAATATCCATGCTTTGTGTAGCTTATGTAAAATCAGGATAATAATACCTCATGGGTCATTGTGAGGATTTAAATAACTTCTGTGACACTTAGCATAGTGTCTGGTTCATAGTAAGTGCATAATAAATAGTAGCAGGTATTTTTATTATTCTGAGTTCCATTTGAGGGTTGGGGGAGCCTGAGAAAAGGATTCCTCCCTGGGATAGGAGTCTTGGTTTTGGCCCTACTCTAACTTGATGAAATACTACTAATGGAGACAGGCTCCTGGGATAAGATTTCCATTAGTAATATTTCTTCAAGTTAGAGGAACTCATAATAAAGTTGTTTTTGCAAACATCGTTTTTATAAAATTATAAAAGTTACCAGATTTTACAGGCTTGTTATAAAACCTTCAAATTGCACAAAAATATATAAGGTAAACAAAAGTAAAATACTTTCCCCTAACCTTTCCCATTTGTAAATCACTGTCTAGTGGTAACCATTTTATGTATATCCTTTCATGTATGTTTTAGACATATGATATAGGTAAATAAATGTGCAGGTATTTGTAAATGAGTGTGTATATAAGCACAAAAATATGTATGTCTGTTCCAAAAATCACCTAAACTATATATTACTTTTTGCAAGTGACTATCATTTTTCCGTATAGTCATATTTATTCAGTTGGATGGGTATATAATTAATTTAATCATTACCCTACTGATGACATTTAGGTTATTTCCAGCTTTTTGCTATTATAAGCAAAGCTATAAGACATATTTGCTATTAAGACATTTTGTTATTATAAACAAAGCTATAAGATATATTTGTACATACAAGATACAGGATAGATGCCTACAAGAAGAATTATTGGGTCAAAAAATATGTATTTTTTTATATTAATAGATACTGCCAAATTGTTTTCCAAAAAGATTATAACCAAGTTCTGCTCCCACCAGAGCTTTTGCTCATACCTTTACCAATATTTGGTAAGATTCAGATGTTTTTCTGGGTATTTTACAAGTGAAGTCTTCTATATGAACTTTATTTTTTTATTTATATATATATATTTTTAGAAACAGAGTCTCTGTCACCCTTGGTAGACTGCTGTGGCATCTCAGCTCACAGAAACCTCCAGCTCCTGGGCTTAGGTGATTCTCTTGCCTCAGCCTCCCAAGTAGTTGGGACCACAGGTGCCTGCTACAATGCCTAGCTACTTTTTGTTGTAGTTTAGCCAGGGCTGGGTTTGAACCCACCACCCTTGATATATGGGGCCGGCGCCTTACTGAGCCACAGGTGCCGCTCCATGTGAACTTTAAAATAAAATTTTAAGGAATAATTTTGGGAATATTTTGTTTTGTTTTGTTTTTTGCAGTTTTTTTGGCTGGGGCTGGGTTTGAACCTGCCATCTCCGGTTTATAGGGCCAGTGCCCTACCCCTTTGAGCCACAGGAGCCACCCGGAATATTTTGATTAAGATTACTTTGTATACTTGATCTTAGCCAAAAGGCCAAGAAGCATTGATTAACATTTTCTTTCTGAGTCAATTGGTGGTAAATTTGCTTTACCTATACAAGAATAAGATATATTTCTCTTATTTTAATAAAGTATTTTTTTCAGTAGAGATATTAAATGCCACTAATTAAATAGTCCATCTTTTTCATTCATTCCTACTTACTAACCATTTACCTTGGCATTACATGCAAATACCACCTTTCTTTCATATCAAGTTGGGTTTTCTGTGGGTTTTTATGTTTCTTTTTTAGTGCTTTACAAGCTGTTTATTGCACGTTACATTATTTTAGTGACTTCTTTAACCCCACTTAGTATCAATTTATTGATTTGTAATGTGGTAATAATTGTTTACAAGATTATTTGGAGAATTAAAGATAGTATTAGTAAGAGTGCTTGTCACATACCTGAATCATGGGAGCTATTATTCTTGTCAACATCGTTACACTTGAGAACACAGAAGATCAAGGTGGCTATGACTGTATTTCATTTGGAATTTTATCTTAACTTATAAACCACTTTTAGAGGTGAAGAGAAATGAGGATTTATTTATCACCTACAGTGTGCTAGGTGCTAGAATGGTTAGAAAAATCAGTAGGACCTATCCTTAAGAATTTTAAAGACTGCAAAGGAGGAAGATGAGTAAATCAGTGATTGGCTACTGAGTTAAAGTAGTTCACTAGCTCATCAGGGAGCACAGAAAAGGGGGATTTAAATTACTTTAGTAATCCTCACAGTTGCTGTATATTTTTCATCCCATTTTAACAAATAAGGAAACTGAACCTGTGAGAGTACAACTAAAGCCACATGGCTACTAACCTCAGAAGTGGTAAAAGGACAAACCTAGGTCCATCCTGCTTCAACACCTCTGCTCTTTTATATGTTTTAAACAATTCAAACATGTAAATTTTATCCAAAATAGGCCTTATAAAATTTCTAATTTTTGAAGTAGTTTTATAGACATAGTTGAACGGTCCCAGTGGATAAGGAATCCATGTATACTCTACTAAATTTCAGGTTTCAGTACACCTTTTACTTGTATAAGCTTGAGCTTTTCCTATTTCTAGTTCAGATTGTTTACTAATCATTTCCCCACCTCAGACACACTTAAGTTAGCTTTGGAAGGGCTTTTGCTTTTTGAAGAATAATAGTCAAAATCCTGTTTCTTTGCTTTTATGTCAACACCTGAAAATATTAACGTTTGTTAAAATAGGTGAACCTGAGCCCAGAGCTGCATATACAGCTAATCTTATCAAAATGTATGGAAGGAAAGCAATCTGAAAGAAATTCAGGACAACAGGATTTATTGGCAATACGTTACATTGTTCATACCAAAAAGAGTGGAGAAGGACTGCTTTTTTTCCCCCTGGTAAAATCACAATGGAGATAGAAGAACTGCAACAACCATGGAAGACAGACTTTTACTGGGAATTGCCAAAAGTGGTGAGAATTCAGCGACAGAATTTTTGAATGATTTCTAATTATAATGAATTTTATGTTGTTTCTTTTCACAAAAGAATTTGTAGAATCTGTAAACTTTAAAAGTTATATAGCTAAACGAAATAGGCACTTTGCCTAGTACAGACTGCAAACACCCAATACCTGGTATGATGCTATGAAACTGTTGGATACTTAATAGATTTTTATTGATTGTATTCACTTGTGTTAGGAACTTCATGCCCACCTGAATGGATCCATTAGTTCTAATACCATGAAGAAATTAATAGCCAAGAAACCAGATCTTAAAATCCACAATCAGATGACTATGATTGACCAGGGAAAGAAACGAACTTTAGAAGAGTGAGTTTCGGGAGGTTGTGGGTACTCCTTTTTTCTTTTTTCTGTGTCATTGTTTTGAGATTGTGACTAATAAGAATTCAGATTTTATTGGTTAGAAAGCATAGGGTAGGCATCAAGCATGGAGAGTTTAAGGTAACGTACAGCATTTTTTCCAATTGTCAGACTATTGGCAGTATTTTTAGTGATTTACTTGTTGAGAAGTTATACTCCATTGGAATATTCTTTTCATTTCTTTCTCTTTTTTTTTCATTTTTGAGACAGAGTCTCACTCTGTTGCCCCAGGCTAGAGTGTCATGGTGTTAGCCAGGCTAAAAGCAACCTCAAACTCCTGGGTTTAAGCAGTCATCCTGCCTCAGTCTCCCGAGCTGGAACTACAGGCACCTGCCACAACGTCCAGCTCATTTTTCCATTTTTAGTAGAGAAGGGGGTCTTGTTCTTGCTCAGGCTGGTCTCAAATTCCTACGCTCAAGAGATCCTCCTACCTCAACCTCCCAGAGTGCTAGGATTACAGGTGTGAGCTACCATGCCTGGCCTTTTCTTTTTTAGCAAAGCGCGCATTTAAAGAGTACATTGGAATGTTCTTTAGACTTGATAATACAGACGCATTGAATTTTCTGTGTGTGTGAGGTAGAGTTAGAGAAGGCAACTATATTTCTCACTTAAAAATATCATTAATGTTTTATTTTTAATTATTTTATTATCTTTCTGATAAATGTAATTTTTGAAAACTTATTTTGTAGTTCTTTGTAAATATAAATGTATACTTCCTATTAGCCTGAAATCTGTTCATTAATTTGGCTTATTGAGTTTCTCTTGAGTTTTTAATGACTAGAGTATGCTAAAAATTTTCACTCTTCTTGCAGATGTTTCCAGATGTTTCAAACTATTCACCAGCTTACAAGTAGCCCTGAAGATATTCTAATGGTAAGACATGAAGGGATTTATAGAATGGTTAAGATTATAAAGTGATTTATGTTCTTTTATTGTTGCACATGACCTTTCATTTTTACTTTCATTAAGAGTCTGATGAAAATATTTTTTTAGGCTCGGCGCCCATAGCACAGTGGTTACGGTGCCAGTCACATATACCAAGGGTGGCAAGTTTGAACCCAGGCCAACTAAACAACTGCAACCAAAAAATAGCCGGGCATTGTTGTAGGCACCTGTGGTCCCAGCTACTTGGGAGGCTGAGGCAGGAGAATTACTTAATCTCTAGAGTTGGAGGTTACTGTGAGCTGTGATGCCACAGAACTTTACTGGGGGTGGCATAGTGAGACTCGGGCTCAAAAAAAGAAAATATTTTCTATGGCAACTTTTTAAAACCAAGATAAGACATTTGACTAACAGCTAATGTAAAAAGACCACGTTTGGGGACACAATTACAAGAGGGACTTTACCTAACAACCACAATCAGTATAACCTAATTCTTTGTACCCTCAGTGAATCACAAACAATAAAAAATAAATATGGGTGGCACCTGTGGCTCAAAGGGGTAGGGCACCAGCCCCATATGCCAGAGGTGGTGGGTTCAAACCCAGCCCCAGCCAAAAACTGCAAATAAATAAATAAATAAAAAGACCATGTCTTCTGTAAAAAATATGAGGAAAGGGGCCAGGTGTGGTGCTTGTGCTTATAATCCTAGCACTTGGGAGGCCAAGGCATGAGCTCACGGGTTTGAGACCAGCCTGAGCCAGCGTGAGACCCCATCCCTAAAAAAAGTAGCTAGGCATTGTGGCAGCCACCTGTAGTCCCAGCTGCTGGGGAGGCTGAGGCAAGAGAATTGCTTGAGCTCAAGAGTTTGAGGTTGCTGTGAGCTATGACACCATAGTACTCTACCGAGGGTGAAAACGTAAGAAAAAAAAAACCAAAAGAACTAAAATGAGCTTCTTTTATTGGGTAGAGAACAATTTGGGGGAAAATATCTGATCCTGTCTTTAATATATATGAAATATTTGGCCACAGGTGGGCATATTCTTGATGGAGCTTTTAACTGCCTGTTTGGGCATTATAAAGAATGGAGAAATTCAAGAAGTACTTACATATTGAGTGATTAATCCCTAGGTAAATTATGCTTCCTCTCTGGGAATGAAGGAGTAGAGGATGCCACTATGTTCTCTTATCTCTTATCCGTTATACTAGTGTCTGACATGGAATACTGGCTTCTGTGCCGTTGATATGACCAGGATGGCATTTTAAAATGTCTTGTTTCTGCCAGGCAGGGTGGCTTGTGCCTGTAATTCTAGCACTCTGGGAGGCTGAGGCTGGTGGATTGCTTGAGACAAGTTTGAGACCAGCCTGAACAAAAGCAAGACCCCATCTCTACTAAAAATAGAAAAACTAAGGCAACAGGGCTCGGCACCCAAAGCACAGTGGTTATGGTGCCAGCCACATACGCCGAGGCTGGTGGGTTTAAAACTGGCCCCTGCCAGCTAAACAACAATGACAACTGTAACAAAAAATAGCAGAGTGTTGTGGCAGGTGCCTATAGTCCTAGCTACTTGGGAGGCTGAGACAAGAGAATCAATTGCTTAAGCCCAAGA